ATAATTTATTGTTTTCCGCACATTTCCGCACATTTTGTAATTTTCTGCATATTTCCGCATAATCTAGCATTTTCCGCGTAATTTTGCATAATTTTGAAATTTTCGCGTTAAGCTTTTCGAGTGTAAAAACCAAAATATGTTAAAAGTCGGGCCCTTTTAGGACCGTGACTCAGGCCCTTTCGGGACCCTGACCCAGGCCCTTTCGGGACTGTGACCCAGGCCCTTTTGGAACTTACCTAGGCCACGTGACCCAGTTACCACGTGACCCAGGCCCTTTCGGAATCCTGACCCAGGCCCTTTCGGGACCGTGACCCAGGCCCTTTTGGAACTCATACTTAGGCCACGTGACCCAGTTACCACGTGACCCAGGCCCTTTCGGGACCCTGACCCAGGCCCTTTCGGGACCGTGACCCAGGCCCTTTTGGAACTCATACCTAGGCCACGTGACCCAGGCCCATTCGGGACCCTGACCCAGGCCCTTTCGGGACCGTGACCCAGGCCCTTTTGGAACTCATGCCTAGGCCACGTGACCCGGTTACCACGTGACCCAGGCCCTTTCGGGACCGTGACCCAGGCCCTTTCGGGACCGTGACCCAGGCCGTTATGGAACCCTCGTCGTTACCGTACTTCGATTATAGTGTATCAGTTATCATTCGTAACTTCACCACATCATCTGATTACTCTATATCACATCACAACGTCATGGACCGTTTCCTAAAGAAACGAACAGCTACAGACAGTGACCCATCATCAAGCTCACCACACAAGAAACAGAAGATACCTGCATCAGCAAAGCAAGGGGATATCTCAGCAGCATGGCGAGCTCAAGAGTTTGGTTCACATTTTTACGAATCTGGGGGGAAACTGTTCTGTAAGTAAGCCCTACCTAGTAAAGAACCTACCTAGTAAAGAACTACACCCTACCTAAAGAACTACACCCTACCTAGTAAAGAACTACACCCTCAGTAACACATAAACAGACCTATTTTTGATAAGAGCGGCGGTTATACGTTTAGAATTTCCAAAGTCCTTGAGAAAATGCAAAAGAAAACCGCACAATTCCCGCACAAATTTCGAAATAATCGCTGCACATTTGCCGCATAATTGGTAAAAATTTACCGCACCTTACCGCACATTTTACCTTTATAGTCGGGTGCGGTACCGCATAATTAAGATTTTTTTACCGCACCTAATATGTGCCTCTGATAACCTTACCAATACTTTGCAATGTCAATTAATGTGCCAGCCTCTAACTATGATATTTAAGCTGAAAAAGTTTTCAAAAGTAACTCAGTAACGGACGTCGTACATAATATATAATTATATAGCCCGGCAGTGGCAGTCGTACTACTAAGAGCAAGCACCCTTCTAATCCAACCTCAAATTAGATTCTGATTAACATTTAACATATTATAATATGTTAATCTAATTTACTTACATTACGTTACTTTCACTTTACGTAATTTATGAACAAATTAAAATGATTGTATATGATTGGGTTACGTCGCGTCAATCTATTAAATGGAGGATGCGGACTTAACACTCGGACGAATGCACAGTGATCCATAACGCATATCATTAAAAGCGAGGTTATAACTAAATTTGAACATGAAACTTTTATACTCCTAGGCATAATGCTCCAACAGGTTATTTTGTGATATAAAAATGCAAATGATTATTGGGAATTTATGAGCGACTTAATAAAAAAATCGGTAAGAGATATGGAACTGATTCATTCGATAGAGTGCCAAAAAAACTGTAATGAAGCAAAATGACTTTAAAGTTTTTAACACTGGCTAAATAGAAAATGTTCAACGACAATATAGTTATACCCGACGCATTATATATAACGGATATTGCAGTGGTGAGACTACTGCATGTAAATGTAATTGGAACGTCTCATGAAACTCAATAATAGCAAGGTAACGTACATCTTGATCCACACCTGGAAAATTGTCGATTGCTTGGCCTCAAATGATATTTAGTCCATGTCGGGAGTTGTTCAAAAACAACCCCCGAAATGAACTAAAGGCTATTGTACCGGTACTACTAGTACTTTTTTTATAAACAATACAAATGCAACAAATCACAGCGTTCTGTGCTTACACATAACACACTATTGTTTTATTAAATTATTGTTTTATTTAACTCATTTGAAGTTAAAGCGGCACAGCCGTGGAATCTTCACCCCAAAGAAATAAATTCCTTGTTCAAATTTAATTCCATAATCGCCGCACAATTGTTATAGTTATACGGCATTATCCCATAGCTCTCGACGGGAGTCTTTTGAATTTGTCAAATTGAGCAGAGATGGTCGCAACCAGGTTAAATATGCACAAAAACCTAGACAGAATTACAACATATAAATATAAACACCCCACGTACCAATCCACCTAAACATGGGCACATAATTTATGGATTTATATAGTGGACGTCAGCAAGGTCCATTAATGGTTTTACTACGTACGTCTAGTACGTAGTACCAGTACTTTACAACGCTACGTGATTACGATATTTACCGTAATGATAGCATAGCACTATTACGCGTTTCAAATTGTCCAATCCCCGTTACAATCACGTGACATTTATAACATATAAGTTTGAAACAAATCACTAAATCAGCATAAGTTGATCCCGTCTAAACTGAGCAGTTTTAAACGGTAATTTCCGGATCAACCACTTATTTAATGATTTTACCTTAATTCGACTTTAATGTCACTTGAAATGTAATTATGTGACGTAGTGTCAAAGTCAAACAAGCGTTTTATAACGTGTTGATTGTGTATGAATATGATCGTCCAAGATCACAAAGAATGGATCGCGATCAAGAATCAGAAAAGGTCACACGATGCGAAAAAAGTTTAAACATTAAAGAAATGAAGGACAACAGCTGATTATGTCAATCTTGCCAAGACAACCCATTCAAATTTTAGAGCTCATGCAACCAAGGAAATGGAGGTGACCAGCAAATGTAGTGCGAAAGAGAGACAAAATATACCCAGCAATGTAATGGCTTTAAAAGTTAAACCATTCAGCATATTTAACTCTCAACGTTATCTGAACGACAAAATTCCGCTCCTAGCCAATGTTAAGGAACATGACTCATAGCAGAAAGATTTCTTTTCAACATATTAATAATTATAGGGTGTCTTGTGTTAGTTTTTAAGAAATGTTGTTTAACTAGAATTAAGAAGTGTCATTGGTTGACATATTTTGTACATAATGCATTCATATACAGCATATTAGTTCATTCTTGATACCGACGTTTCCTAATTAGATTACTTTCGGGTCCTGTCCAACAGTTAAACAACAACTCAACATTACCCTGAAAATATATGGGGACCGGAGGGGTTGCAACGATTCTAGATTCGATCTGATTATGTAGATAAAATGGCGATTTTTTCGTCCTTCAGGGTTCCACTTTTGTTTATTAGTTTGGAAATTCAAGTTCACTATTTAATTTTTGTAGTCAAAGTTAAATAAACCAAATAAGAATAATTGAACCCTTCGGCTTCCTGTAATTGGCTGGTTACGTACCCGTGTAACTTATATGGCTGTTGGAATGTCCGAAGTAAAATAAGTGTTAGATTAAAAAAAACGGAGCAATCGATTGTCCCACAGAAATTATGGCGAGGCAACATTTGCCGTCTGGTGTTCTAAAAACGTTCTCATCTAAACAAAATGAATTGCATGACATGAGCAATGAGATATTTATCTAGCACATAGCAGGATAATATGCATACCAACAACTTACCTGGGGACCCCAGGCTATTATGTTCATAAACATAATAAAGGTTCGGCGGAATGACAGGCTGAGCACCGCCCAGTATAAAATCAACAACATTTTGTCTTTGTGACCTAAAGTTAAACATATTGTTTATGATTTGCAGCGATCTGAGAAAAGTTAGAACTTTATAAGTTATTATTAATGACCGACTTCAAAGTAAACAAATTTCACATTAATTTACGGAGCTAAAACCACCACCGCTCCAAAACACGGTGAGATATTCGAGTAGCTTAACATCATCTTTTATAAGCAAGTTCTATATCGGAGAGAAAACAATTGTTCCAATATAGGTCCGAACTTGTGTAAGACTTTATTAATGAGGCCGTTCTAAAGTTAACATATTCCGCGTTCATATGACTATCATATGCGGAATATGACTATCACGTGACTGTCACGCATCTATTACCACCACCGCCTCTTAAAGTTATACCACGAAATTTGCCTGAAGCCTAACGGCTGACATCATTTCTATTAGTATAGCTCGAGTAAGATGTGGCAAAGATGCGGCCTTCAAGCCATAACGATACTGAAGATTGTAAGGAAATGTGACCGCTCATAAAATATATGTAAACCACTCATGAGTCATGGGGCCATAGTAGGTGTATGATACGCCAATGACTATAAGTATGATCATAATATGAGTATAATTATGACTTGTTCGTGTCCACTGAAGGGTGACGAAGATAACAGTGTGAGGAGTAACAGTTGACATCTTCCTAATCACGCAGTTGGGCGGGAAATAAGTTGCGTGATATTGGGTGGTTATGATAAATAGCCTAGTAGGTCAGTCCGCTAAATAGGAGGGGCTACTGAATTCATTTCTCTGTGGAGATGAATTCTTGTGTGTGATATACACATTTCATTATCAATCTTAGTAACGTGCCTTGTGATGTGATAACCACCGAAATAATAATCAAATAGGCACGGTACCGCAGAAACATATATGGCCAGGTACGAGAATCGATAACAATATCAAAACTGTCAAGAATAACCATCTGCCGTTGTCTCCAGTTGCAGTATCACCCATTATACCTACCACTAGATTGGTTGCTAGGCGTTGTGATTAGTTAATAATTTGGGGCATCATAATTTTTGCAGGTATTGGATTCTCGCCAGAAAATACCAACTAAGTGTTTGTGAGTTGAGCTGGTCAATATCATTCTCAGGAACTTTCTTACTATCTTATGGCTGTTTTAACAAGTGCAAAAAGGGTTACATTTTTAAAAAGGATTACATATAAGAATAATAGTACTACATTAACAACGGTTACATCAAAATTCGTACGTAAGAAGAACAGCGAAGATGCTCCTTTAACCTTATATGTACCAAAAAGGTGAAATTCCCAAATATAAGTTAAATATTGTTTAAATTATCATTAAAAGCTTTGTCTATAGGTCACGTTAACTTCCATCTTTTATTTTGGGCCAATTCACTAATCAAGCCTAAGGCTTCTAAATTATCGATAACATTTCAGTCACGCTTTTTCTGCCTCTTGCTGAAATCGATTCCCAAAGATTTCTTCTTTGGGGCAGGTTTTTTAGTGTTCTTATTTGATGGCTGTGACTTAGTAACCTCCTCCGGTTTGGGCGCAAGCATCTGCTTCAACAGATCAGTCTTAGTTTGAGCTGAAACTTCTGCTGAATGTCCAGTTTCTTGAGGGATATGGTCGTGTTTCTGCACGTCATCCCGTCTAGGATGTGGAGCATGTGGAGAAGGAAGAGCATTCAGGGCCGCAGCAAGGGTTGATCCCTCGGTGGAGGCTGGTTGATCTTGGCTAGCAGCCGCCGCCTTACAGATAACCTGTCGGTTTACGATATCAAAACTTGGGAGTAGATGCCTTTTTAGTGTCAGTATTTATATCCGGATGCAGGAAGCTACAAACTTATGTGTGTTGTCAACAATCGAAAAGCAATTGAATGAAATAAGCATGTAAAACTAAATACCTGCGTGGGGATAAATGGAGCGGACATAGCGAAACGTTTAGCGACGGAGCTATCCACGGGGGCGTAACCAACAGGTGGAGTTGGTCCAGTGTTCAGGGAAGGGTTTATCTGAAATCTATGTTGTCAGTAGTCTGATAAAATGAGAGATGGAAAAGTAATGGAAGTGGGTTAAAATGGTGATGGGGGTTCAAACAACGAGACGCTGCTCGGCAGGTTATAAAAACAACAATTTCTCATGCCAAAACAGACTTGCTCCAGCTTTCCATGTCTATTACAAACTTGAAACTGTAAAACCTAGCATTACCACGACAATAATCAGATTTGAAAGCTCCATGGAACGTTACAAAGCGTTTACCTGCCCAAGTAAGATTCTATCGGAGCTAGTGCTGGCAGTACTCCTCTGTCTAGAGGTATGGACGTAACCTTGCTGATGGGCGCTCCTTGGAACTCCACTGGATTGCTGGTCAGGTCTCGATGGGGTGGTTGGTTGGCCCATCATGCCCAGTAGGGATTTTACGGCGTTTGTTGATACCTCGTCTAAATAAATAGTTTTGAGTGTACGTGATAAATCATTTGAGGAGGAGGGGACAAATCCTAGCCTAGGGAGATGCGGAGATAACCCAATGCGCGCACTCAGAATTTGTTTTATTTTATCGATCACGTGACCTCGTGAAGTGCCATTTAGCGTAGTTTTGCCAGTGAAATTGCATCGCGTCGTACAAAATCAGTATGGTATTTTTGCCAAGAGTACGTGTGAATAATTTCTAGCAACAACTAGAAGTTCCCAGATTTTGGCTGCTTATGAATTCATACTTGTACTAAACAATACACAGATATAAATAGACTGGATTCGACAATAACACAGAAACGATTTCCAATACAAAATAATTTAATACTAGATTCAAGAAGGTCCTCCATAATATTTAGAACTTTAACTTTAAGATAAACTCTGTTATATGTACATTCGTTCTTAAAACTTATAAAAGGGTCACAATTCATCAAATATCCAATATCCAGTTTATCCTTAGAAGGGTCGCGTCTAAGAAATTATTATAGTTACAAACATAAGCAAACCGTAAAATATGGTCCAAAATAATCTTGTCATCGAACTTTGAAAGGGTGGAATTGTGAAAAATGCATCTTGCATGTCAGCAGGAATCTTAATTCACGCAAAATTCGCTAGAAAATTAGTTTTGGCCCACTTTGTAAATCTGAAATCTAACATCATACAACGAAAAAAGTGCTAGAAAAACCCCGGCAATCATCGTTCATTAAATAGTATTCGCATTTGTTTCCAATCATTTTATATTCCACACACTGGTCACTGATAGTAATGCGTTCCCCCTGAAATTATGAAATTTATTTCCCATTTTAGTTCAAAATCGAGTTTTATACAGTAAAACCCCGATTTACCGCGGAATTTGGGGAAAAGAAACACCCGCAGTAAATCGGGGTATCGTTTGTTTAGATTATGCATATTAAGCCCTTCTGAAAGCTTCTACAAGTTAAATCATCGTATCTCTTATATGTTTTTAACCCAACTCCACTCAATATTAAGCCCTATTTGGGGGGAAGATGGCCGCGGTAAATCGGGGTTTTACTGTAGTTTGGAAACACTTGCGTACACCATGCAATCAATTCAAGAAATTGACTGCTGTTTTTGAAGATAAACTCTAACGTAGCAACTTTTAACGAAATCTAATTAATTCTTACCTGGTGAAACACTGTATTTTTGTTTAGGTTTAGGTTTTCCACTGAAAAACAAAAATAAGTGAATAAACTGTATGAACACTAGCGTTTAAACAGTATTCACAACATAAATCCTAATAAATTTCTAAATATAACCAGTTAACTTAAAGGATGAGGGGACCTTAGAAAAAGTTTTTTTCTCGTGCAAATCCTTTCATTACATTAATCGTATAAACCACTTTAGTGAAATCCGCAAAGTTGTATTTCATTCGCGCGCCGAGATATCCAGCCAAAACAATTTGAACCTGTGACGTCAATTATGTGAGTTGCTCTGATCCGCGCATATAGAAATACAGGTAAAATGAGCGTGCAGGCCGACTAAATTACTAATTAAGAATGCATTAACAATTTACGATACTAACGAGCCTATAACCAATGGAGAGGAGACTTTTTATGACCGGTTGAAAAAAGAATTATCACCCTACGATAACCATGAGCCGAGATACACCTGAAATAAGATTGAAGTCACACAGAAAGGCATGTAAATTATGTATATTTATAGCTCCCAACGTAACACCTAGCAACTCCCTGTATCGTACCACAGTTGATATATCAACATGTCATATCAACACAACACGGTCCTAATAAAAATGGATCGGGTAGGTATGAAATGCATGTCTTCATTCCAGTTGGACAAGCACCAAGCTTTTAAGTTCTAACTCACTATGTGACACTACTTATAACGTTATAAGCAAGATTTGCAACTATCACACCAAGCAATATTATACCAAGCATAGCAGACGAACACATCCACATTCGTTACGCTTTACACTCAAGTCACAGCAAACTAAAACGGTAAATTATAAATGAGTGTACAACTAAAGGCCGGTACACGCCGCATTGTCAAACCGCACGTGCGCACTCAGATAGGACTAGAGGCGCCAAGGGCCAGCTAGTAAAATGTCTTCTACTACATCATACATTCAATCTTGTTAGATCTTTATTCTTGTATGAAGAAATATGCCGATTTTTAATTGTGTCCATATCGGGTTTCAAACAATTCAAAACAAAATAGCAGTTTGTGGTTTAGTTAGCGGATGCTACTTATCTTAGTAGCTATTTATAAATAGAAATACCTACTACAACTACAAGAAAGCCTTTCTGAGTTACATTTAACTATTAAGGAGAATTATTCGTAACTTAGATCTTGACTAGTTCAGTGCAACCAAAGATACCGCTCTCGCAAACGCCAAAGGTAACACGACGTAATTAAAACAGCACAGAACAAAATGCTGACACAAGCGAAAGGTGCGCGCGCACGTTGGTCTTAACACATAAGTGACGTCACAGCCCAAAATTGCTATCAGCCAATAGGAGCGCGGCGTGATATTGCACGAATTATCGATTTCACAGTCCGGCGTATTTTTTGATTCTACACACTTTCACAGGACTTAAACGCGAATATTTGGAAGTAAATTCTAAGGTCCCCTCATCCTTTAAGAATAATATTTTGCTACTACAACCAAAAGAAATGTCGCTCTCTCAAAACAAAATCATCGACAAACTACCAAATCGTCCGCTCACAACATTATACATGTAACTTACGGTTGCTCAAGATGAGGATCTCCGCCTGATTTAGGGGGTTTGGGAGCAGTGTCAGAGGAAGCCTGATAGAACTCACCATGGTAGAACTGCTCGTCATACTCAGTGTCTGCTTTCTTTCGCTCTTGTTTGTTTCGGGGCTGGAGAAGGGGTTGTGGGGCTAGATTCTTTGTTTTGTAATTTGATTGTTTGTACTTTATTTAACACGCGAGTAGAGATTGCGCATGTGCACGTGTGTGCATTATGCATAGTGTACGAATGCATGTGCACGAATAAATGTGCATATCTGTGTGGAAAATCTCTCAAATTGACTGACTAACCAACCTTTCCGTTGGCCCTGTCAGAGTGTTCATTGCCACTAGCAGTGTAACCACCTTGTTGAGGGGGGTAGTATTGTCCGGGTTGGTGGGGGTTGTACCCCATTCCTGAGAGAGGAACTATCAATCATACAGTGTTGGTATCAACATTACCATCGTTATAAGGGATCATTCATATTAATGCTTTTCATACAAAGTTACAACAAAGTCTTCATGTTATGTATCCTGGGTTTGGACAGGATATTACATAAGCGATATTATAACGTGATATTTTACATATATATTTGGATACATAAATTTGTAAATAACTATCCCTGAAGTTTGCATTCGCCTTCTCCAGTAAACATAACCCCAGACCCAAATAACCCAATTACGTACCATACTGGAATCCTGCTGGGTTGTAAACAGGTGACTGAGGGAATGCTGGGTACATAGGACTGTGGCCAGGAATGTAGCCGTAAGGGCTGGTTGGACCTGGGGTGAAGGCGGGGACAGCTCCAGGGTAGGAGGGGTAGGAGTACTGCTGAGGTAACCTGGTGGTGGTGGGGTTAGGTAATTAGTTAATTAATGAGTTATTCATGGAGACGTTCTGAGGTAGGATCATTACGTCACAATATCTAATCAAAAAAACTCTAAGTATCAAAAGTACTAAGAGGTTAATTGAGAAAGTAAAATACTTCTGGTAAATCAACGATCCCAGCATATTCTAAACGGTAAATCAGTATTATATATATCACTGTACCGATAACAGAATCTATTGTACATATAATTATCTAGACAGAGACTGTATTCTAAAAACGTTCCAGCACCCTCGGTTATATTCACCTGGGGTTAGCATAGAACGCAGGAGCAGCAGGATAATTTGGAGGGTAAGTGGGGGATGCAGGACTGTAGGCCTGCTGACCGTAGAATGCTCCGTGGGGAGGCGGTGGTGGTGGTGCACCGTACGGGTCTGGACCCATTCTTACACGCGGCATTCCCCATTGGTTCTCCCTGGAGTAAGAGGGAATATGTGTTAATTACTGATTAACTACTTAATATTGGAAGAGGTTATGTGAGGTAATCAATTAATTTTTTTCAGTAACCTCAGAGCAATGGGTATCAGAAGACTCAAATTATGTAAGATATGTAAAGATAACGCGAACTACTCTTCATGATTTAGTTGACCATGCGAACTTCGAGCATAATGTTTTTATCTCTTAACTTTTAAATTTATATCAAGTGAAGTTGTCTCATAGAAACCTGTAGTTAAGATGATCATCCTCGCTCATATCATCAACACTGACGTTCTTCTTCCTCGGTGGGGCTCCCTTCCTGGGGGGAGGCGGTCCCTGCTGTTTCTTAGGGCCACTATCCCTGTCTCTGTCTCTTGGTCCTGGCTTCCTTCCTTTGTCGTGGTCGTTCTTTCTTAATATTTCCTTCCTCTCGTTAGACTTGTTGGGGGGACGTCTGTCTCCTCTGTCTCCTCTGTCTCGTTGGTTGTGGTACGGTTCTTCTTTGCGCTTTGGTTTTGGGATTGTTCTCTCGGACTGGGGCTGGGAAAATGGCGCAATTAATTGTGTGATTGAATTTTATTGATTGATTCACAGGTAGTTTAATTTTTTAATGTGAAAATGATCCATGTTGCTTTTAACTTTATCGTGTCTCTATAGTTATCTGCTTAATTTCTCTAACTTTTTAGTGCCCTTAGCTGGGTATAGTAAAGTATTGGGATAAGTTATAATCCGATGTTTGTGGTAACTATGACCGATGAAATGTTACGAACAAAGAACTTAAATATTATGTTAATCATAATTACAACTGGATGATAACTGAATAAATCAAAATTATGAAATTTACAAAACCCAATCCATTTCCAAAATAACAAAAAGTAAATTTAAACGTATTACAAAATACAAGCTTAAACTCATCGCGCAACAAAAACCATAATAAACTATTTGGAACCAAATTTCAACGTAACAAAACTGACAGACCCCAGCGGAGTGATAGGAGGACGTACTTGATACTATTGTCCTGAAGCGATCCCAGCCAAACCTACTCAAAGTATTCAAAGAAAGTATTTACGCTATCGCAACATAACAAATTAAAAAATTGCAATAAAATTCCCAGAGCTACACTCAAACTGAAAACATCGTCAATAGTTCATCTTCAGCGGACAAAATAACACAAGCAACACAACAAAAACTATTCAATAACGACCAGAAATGGACCAACAACAAAATACACTTGCACAGATAAGAGGCAATAACGGAAACTAAAATCATTGACAGAACAAAAACACTTCTGTTTTGGGACTCGATGGTTTTTCATGCTTGTGATGCGTGCTTTAGACTTTGACGGACTCCTAGAAATAAAGTTATTTTATGAATTTGAAAAACTATGTATTTATAAACCAGTAAAAATAACGCAACTTCTTGTGCAACAACCAATAATGCACAGTGAACAGTGCATAGTGCACATCGCACACCTATTATATTATGTATATTTAATGCTAATCATCATTTTCACCAAATAAAAGGCGAGCACAGAGCTTCAACGTCAATATTGAGCTGGATATAATATTTCCTTGAAATTTGACAAAGATTATGAAAGGAGGTCAACAGAGTTCTCCATTCCCTGATCGAATAAACAATTGATTTAAGTAATAATTAAGGTGATCAATATGAAAAATGTAAAGACTATTGTTGATCGAATAATGAGTGTTTTTACATGAAAACATTCCAGGCGATAAATTAGAACAGCCGAGGATTCAACAAAAACGGTAAAACTAAAATTAATCGTGGATTTGATTTACACAAAACACGTGTGGATGAACTTAATTGGGGAAATTAAAATTCCAGGTAAATAGGGGCACGGTAAATCGGGATTTTACCGTGTATGTCTGTCTAATAACCAACCGATCACGAATTGAGAAATAACAAAAAAATGGCCACAGAAAGCAAAAAGGGTAACAAGCTTTTTTATTTTTCTATAACAGCAGAAACTAATTATTAGAAAAAGTCAGTAAAAGTAACAGAAACAAAAGCAGAAAGTAGCGGAACCAGATATTCAAACAAAAACAGAAATTGGAAGAGAACCAGAACCAGAAACAGAAACATAAAATACCTGAGTGAGTCTCATTCCATAACTAAAGTTCATGAGAGTGAAGGGTAACATAGTGTAGAGATGAGAGTTGCACTCTCCGTACGATAGCCCACCAATAAACGGCTCATCGAATAACACTTCGTATTTAATAGCGTCTGCCGACTGTATCTCCCCTGTGATTAAGTTACGTTATGATTCTTTGTTATTGTAAAGTATAAGTTTCCCCTTTTCCTCCCTACCCGAATTTAAGTTGAACACGTGATCTCTTCCATAACAAAGACGCGATAATCATTTGGGCCACAAACACTAATTTGATTATCGTCGTCAGTAGATATTAGATTTGTACACTTTTCAAATTTTCAGTAACCTACCATTTTTGATACCGACGATTGTGCCCTTGTAACCAAAAGGTACACAGTGACTAGAGCAAACATTCACCACTCGGTCACACAGCTGGAAATCAGCCTTAGCGTCCGGCGGCAATACACCTGACAAAAGGTTATTAGTTTCCTTAAAAATGTTGGGTAAAACTAAGTGCAAAGGTCGCTGTAACTTGTAACTTTGTAATTAGAGACTTTCATAATTAGGACCAGCAGTTCTACTTTTGAAATAAGGAAGAACATTTTAAGTTTTTAAATGTTTGTTTGTTGTTGTTTGTTTGTTATCTAATACTGTAATGATAAAATTCAAATAATAAAAAACGACTAACCATTTTGGAAGTTCGGATTGAAGAGTACTCTGGGTTTTACTTTAACCACAAGTTCGTGGACTGACACTGTTTTCTGATTTAAGGGAAACGATGGTCAACTGCACATCTTGATAAAGCAGGATTTATAAATTTGGAAGAGAGCGGCAATTACATAACCATTTAACCATGGGGGAGCACCCTAGTTATCCAAATATATTCAAAGTAGAAACTTGATCAGAATATAAGATACTGCTAGTATGACTCTGACAGGTAACTAATTAAGTAATTAATTCATTAGTAGTTTAGTTGACTCTGACAGGTAACTAATTAAGTAATTAATTCATCAAGTAACTAAATAATTTATTAATTCACTAAATAATTCATTAATGAAGCATTAAAGTAAGATAAATACCTTGTGCTCAGCAATATCAGCCAGTAGCTGTGCCACGTGTTTAGTTGACATGATCTCACTTCCCACACCCACAAGTTTACTGTTATGAGTGGACAGAGACTTTAGCCACTTCTTTACGTCCTCGAAATACTGTCTCACGCTGAAATAAGTTTAGTTAATTAAATAATAAATAATTTACTTTTTACGCTATTAATCTGGTCTGCTTAAAAAAGTAAAGCACAATTGATCGGATGTGATCCAGCAGGACTATGATTAAATAAATTACAACTTAATAAAATAAATCACAATTAAATAAGAATCTGCATACTTGAACTCAGGTCCGAGTTTTTGAGCGATCTCTGAAGCGTTGATAGTCTCCTTCTTGAGATGGTGTTCTAACTCCTTGAACAGTTCTGGGAACTTAACCACGTACTCTTTTATTATCGTGTACAGTGCTTCTGAGTACTGCCAGCCTCTTAGAACAGGGAGTTTAGTTGAGAGGAAACGAAATTATAAAATTCCGAAGATTACAATTTTCGGGAGTTTGAAGTACCTGAACATTATAAGATTATAGACAAAAAATGTGTCTTTATTGATTGACATTAATTGACATACCCGTTATCTATTTTCCTGGCATAGTCCGGTGCCATGAGACTCTTATTAGCATACTTAATGTTGAGACCAATGTTAATTGGGGTCGTTCCACTTCCACTGATGGTTAGAAATTGATTAGGAAAACAGTTGCATGTTATATTACGTAACGTGACGTCACACAACACACCACGTGACCTCACACAACACGTGACCTCACACATCTCACACACTTACTTCTTGTTTGCAATGTTAATCTTGAAAGCTGATGTTATCTTGCTCAGTAGGAGGGGTGATATGTGTAACTCACTGCACATTTCCCGCGGAAAGTACTGAAATGATATATCTGGTTAGTAGGTAATTAATAATGGGTAATTAATAATGGGTAATTAATAATGGGTAATTAATTGTGTTTATTTTGATAACTTACCTCCAAATAATTAACAATTCACTAAAATATTTAGCAATGAATTATGTTGGACAGTCAAATTATTACGATGTTTTCTATACCTCTCACTAAGATCTATATCGATGTATACATTATATTGTATTTTTGTATCTTGTACAATTGTATATTATAAAATATAATATAATAGTGGAGTGGGAATTAAAAAGGAGTACGCTTCCTTCGTCCTTTGGCAATGACAAACACTACACCACACTTACCACTATTATATACCACCACACTTACCACTATAATATACCACCAACCCAGCGAGTGATAAATTTACACTGCCAGACATCAGACTACACACTTAACTCCCTCAACTACAAGCCGGACACTGCTTTACTTCTAGAATTATTTGATAAATAACATGACTCATGAACCAAGTCAAACCCTTACTTTCAACCCAGTTTCTGCTGCAACCCCCTCCCCCCCAACCCACGATGATGAGCTCATGATGGACTTCATCAGATGGAGTAGAAAAGTATGAACTAATTAGAGTTATATCGGAGTTATAACCGTGCGGTGTTCTTCCGGTACGGGTCAAATATCGGTCTGCACTTTTTTCCATGAGACTAGTCACTAGCACGTCATGTCGAGTGGAATGTATTGAAGTTTGGAAGGGGGCTGAGTTGTCGAGTTGATAGGTTGGCTTTGTTGAAGTTCTGTTAATGTTTCGTATCTGTTAGCTAGCAGCATTGGCCAATAGAATTTTATAAGGGGTCGTTTATATATTACGTAATCATTGAGGGGGAGGGGATTTCTAATTAATGATTACACTAGTGTAAATTGAACACAATAGTCAAATTAGCCATGTGTAAAACTGATTACGGAGGGGGGGGAGGAGGTTGAAAAAGTCATCACGTATTATGTGAACGACCCCTAATGACTGGCTCACGTGTCTACTAAAGTTGCACCACATCCATTTCTGACGTCTATTGTATTTATAAAGTTTCGTTGTACGTTCATGCAATCATATTCTTTACAAGTTTACAGTATAACACATTGCAGTACAATTTGAATTGTCCACATCGGACACAGTATTAGAGTATTAGGTATTGACAATTATTTAGTAAATTTGAAATGAACGGTTCTGACGCATGCTTTTTTGCTTGTTTGACGCGCTGTTGAATGTTCCTTGACACGTTTTGTAGTACTGGAAGGCCACAAAACTATAGAAAGTTTATTAACATTGTTGAGCATGTGGAAATCTCAGAATATTTAATGTGACCACCTCATGACGTTTGTAACAAAATTACCTCTTAATTTTTACTAATTTTGATAAAACTGATAAGAAACTGATCAAAAACTGATCACTCCCATACTCAGATATGAACCACCTAGTAACCCTCTCCCTCACCATCTCGCTCCTCCCAAATCTCGCTCTTTCTGGGCTAAAGTGTTACGACAAGTGTAATGTAGTCACCTCTTTCTCGTACGGTAACGATCCTGATGACTGGGCCAGGAACTCGCTAATGGACAGAGTATCTGATAAGAACAGTAAGTAAACGGACACGGATGATACTCGTAAAATATTTGTTCCAAATATTGACCGTCGACGAGTCCAACTCGGTGCGCGTCTTGGTTGGTAGGTTATAAACCAACAAACAGTAAGTAAAGGATATCATTTGCACACTTTTTGACTACACTAGTCACAAGGACGAAGTGACGTTTCACATTACAACATAATATTAGATAACAACTGCCGTGACTGTCATCTGGAAAGGCTTCAAATTTCTTCTAAATCAGAAAGAGCATGTTTCAAATTCACAGTAAAATCGGCTTTCCCAAACTTAAACTGCAGGGCTCAAGACTTACAGAATTAGCGCCTCTAGCAACTTCCCTAAATCAGCAGAATATAACAAAACCCAATTCTTCAGAGGCTTGTACTTCGGCCCAAATATCAGAATGTGAGGAAAAGGAGGTATGTTTATCGTACGACGTGGCAGCAAGTGCAGATATTGAGATACACCCTGATAGCGACGTTGAGGGGGGAGGCATACAACAACAACAAACAACAATATCTCAGGAAGGTAGGTTCCTTAAACTTTTCTAAAACTCCTAATTCATGATACTCCGCGGTAAATTGTATTTGTACCACGTCACCACTATAAGCTGCCACCAATAAACCAACTTCCCCTCTGCAGGACACATGGGATTCACAATAAACTTCTGCGGACCCAAGACCTACACAGCAGTCCCACCCTCTCACTGCAACGAGTGGGCTAGTTCTCTCGAGGAGGAGTTTCAGAAGGAGAAGGGGTCTCCTTTTACTGTGTCTGATGTGGACGCTACCTGTGGTCAGGTAGGTCACGTGCTTGTTGATAGGTCACGTGTTAACTTAGAAGTAGGGGAAGAGGGGCCAGGGGTGTCGTCATTTCACTTTTTGTTGCCAGACAATTCTTGTGAATTGCAAATCTGGTGATGGTGCTGCCCTCAGTCCCCAAATTTTGATACTCATGATATTGGGCAATTTCAGGACACTTGAGTTGATAAATAGTCTTAATAAGTATCAAGTATCAGTTATTATCAAGTACTGAAGATCTTAATAATTAGCAAATGTACTACCAATTTCCTCTACGAATGTTTTCTCTCTCTAGGTTACGTTGTGTGAGGAGGATTGTCTGGGAGCAGCTACTGGATTGTCAGTTACACTAACTCTACTCATCACATCCCTGGTCTACCTTATCTTCTAAGCTACTAATATCAAAATATTATAGAGAATTAAACGACTGAAATAACTAAATAGAAGTTCGTTATGGGACACTGCACTGGTCTTAAGTTTTGGCTATATTGTGGGAATTAAGTGATTTCAATAATATAATTTACGTATATTATTGTATTTTATTATTTTCCATGACTAATTAATAAGTTACTAAACTAAATTTTATAGGATTTGAATTTAGCGATCGATTTCATCAGGACGAAACTTCATGTACTGCATAATGTTATCAAATGTATTATTAATTTTTGGTCCCTAATCCACAATGTATTTTTCCGATAAACATAAAATATCTATTATCTAGTAAAGTATTGAATTATCTAATGGTTTGAATGTGAAGCTAATAAAGTAATAAGTAAATTCGTAATTAATCAACAAATTATCTGCTAATTAATTATCACAAGTATCTAATTACTAACCCAATCTTCGTCATGACTGTCAATAGTTTTTCTGAAAGTCTCCAACATTGGTTCATCCGACAGTATTATCCTAACTTTAACTCTGTTATCTTGAGATCCTTCTACTGTACCAAGACTACCGTACCCTGCACAAAAACAGGGATTAAGAATGCTATCGATATAGATTGAATATCAAACTATAGAGGGAAACGTAGAAAAAACAGGCGACATGAATGACAAATATCACACTGATATTATATTATCTGTCTAGTTGAACCGAGCATGGTAAAGGTACAACTGAACGTTGTTCTAATGCAAAGATGAAGGATTTGCAGAGTACTAACCAGGATTTGCAGAGTACTAACCAGGATTTGATACGACGAAGACCTTGGCATCTTTTGGGAATACTCCTGATAGACTAAGATTCTCACATTTCTCTTGCACTGGAACAGGAGTTGACAGATTCTGAGGAAGGAGTGAAGTCAGACAGACAGACAGACAGACAGACAGACAGACAGACAGACAGACAGACAGACAGACAGACAGACAGACAGACAGACAGACAGACAGACAGGCAGACAGACAGACAGACAGACAGACAGACAGACAGACAGACAGACAGACAGACAGACAGACAGACAGACAGACAGACAGCCAGACAGACAGACAGACATGATTTACCCACAGTCAAGTATATAAGGACACGTTCATTGAAGTTTGAGGATATTGGTAAATTTCTAAAATAGCGTTTTCGACGATAGTGGCTTAATTTTAGCATCTATTAATCTAGCGTGTTCATAAGTTCTGAACATTAGCCACGTGACCCATACTCCCATATGCACTGCTCAGAAATAAAATGTATTGCTTTTAGGCACTATAATGTAAAAAATGTCACATTTTTGTGACATTGTTTACCATAGCTGCCCAATTATCATTCCTTGGTCTGAAATATAGTAGATTAGGTCAATCTAACAATTATGATACAACATTGGTTAAAGGGCACGGATCGAACGGTTTTAAGGCAATATTTCGTACACTTTGTCACACTCAGAATACGAGACCTCTTTTCTACTGTGAGGTGTCCTCAAAACCCTTTCAACTCATTATTTGATGGTTCTTCTGCCAATCATAGCCCTAAAATATGTTGTTTTGAAAAGTTAGCAAATACATGCACTTGGTTATTGGGAAATGATGTAAATTCTGTCACATTATATGGAATTTGAAATTCTGGGTGAATTTCCGAAATCATTTATATCTGATTTTGGTTTGTAGTACAGTCAAATCCGTCCTAATTTAAGCCTTTGTCGGACAAAATTCGCAACAAAGCGATTTTAACGGGATATGGTCGAGACAGGTCCCAGGACTCATTCCAGAGAGTTCCCAAAATCCTCGACTTCAGGAAAATCCACAATTACCACTTTTTTACCACCTTTTTACCACTTTGGTTTTCTGTAAATAAGTCACGTTCTGAATATCCTAGAAGACTCTAGTTTAAAGCATTGTGTTAAGAAAACAAAGAAGAACAACTTTTTCTTTAACAACTTTTTCAAAAATAAATTATTTAATTAATTAATTAAATAATTAATAAATTTTCAAATATTTCAAAAATATATTTTCATAAAAAATGTTCACGATTACATTCCACGACCCACGTATAATGAACTAATTTTTATAAAAATTTTCACTTTCAATATTTTGGACTTGTAAAATTTTCGAAATTTGTAAAGAAAAACCACTATTTACCACTTTTTACCACATCGAATCTCCGCTAATAAAACGACTTCTGAATTTCGTAGAAGGTTCTAGATTGAACCAATGTGTTCAAAATATAAAAGAAAACAATTACTTTTTATATGACAACCTTTGGATTAGATAATTAATTGATTTATCAATTAAATAATAATTAATTTTTTTAAAATTTCAAAATATAATTTTTATCAAAAATATTTGCCGTGACGTAAAACGTAAAATGAATTTACTTGAATAACAGAACATACACCGTCACATAGATTAGATAACAGATTAAAAAAATCCAGATAAATGGAATAAATGGTAAAATATCCAAATTTGTACGATACTATTATAGCTTATAACTATTTACACAACATATCTCTCGACTTAGTGTTGTGCTTAACTAGATTGTTAAACTGGTTTGTTTGGAAGCTTCAGCTTTACTTTATGTTGACTTCTCTTCGTAAAAAAGTTGAATCTGCTAAAAATCGAGGACTAAAATCACACGAAATAGTTAATATTTTGACAAAAGAAGAACACATCGTGTGCCTGATACTGTACGCGTGCAGATTCTATGTAAGTAGCTGTCAACTAATATACAATAATAGTAATCTGTTTTTACCGTTTTACTTTTAAGTTTTATGTCAGCGGAGAGCGCAACTAGAGGCATTCTTAACCAATACAATGTTTTAATTTACCAGGCAAATGAGGAGTTAGTTTCGGTGAATAGCTTTAAGAGGGCGAATGATCGACAATGTAAATTTGTATGGAATGAAATATGGAAAGGGTTGCTGTTCCCGGCCCAGGTACTATTTAAACTATTTATCTTTTAAGTAAGTACACTAACTTTTAAACTATGCCCAGCAAATTTGAAACGGATACGTACAGTCCTATTCTGTATTCTTTATCCTGACGCCTCTCATACCTTGTATAAATAAACAAATCAATGCACCACAGGTTGGATCAACAACCCCTGGTCACTGAACGAAATTAAACGGCAGTACAACGGCATGACTGATTCAGCTCAGAGTGACGTCTTGTGTTTATTATTGCAGACAGTGACCATAGACCAGTTCCAAAGATTCATATCTAGCCTAGCGGTTAGAGCATCAGCCTTCTGCGCAGAAGGTTCAGGGTTCGAATCCCAGTGTCACCTAGTCTAGGGAGTATCTAAGGATCCATTGGATCTATGCGATCTCAACGGTCGACTCAACCGAATGATAGGAAACTTAATTGAGGGTTAAATGAGGAGGGGTACCTGTTAAAAGTTCAAGAAACTTCCTAGGATACCCCTTCAGTGCATACTGTAAACATAGTGCTATTAACTATTATATCGGCCAATGAAGAGGAGTCCGTTGTAACAGAGTCAGGACCATCTTTAGTCCACGAACACAGTTTAAACAAATGTCCATACTGTAACGTAGAGATCGCACCAAATGATAAATCCTCAAACCGGATTACAGACATGCTAAGTTATTGTGCGGGGGAGGGGGGAGGTGGTATAGTACACATACGTTAGGCTCTTATTAAGTTACTAATTCGCTCGCCCAAAAATTTCACGTGACTTTCTCCGTAGCTTAGTGCACTAGATTCCCACTATCGGAATCGTTCTGAATAGCCGATCCATACCTACTCCGTGGATCCGACTGGTGGTGTCTGATCCAGTGAAAGCGTGGCACAGAAATCGTGCAGAAAGCCCAATTACGGTATCCTAGCACCCTGTCACGTGATAAGCGATTAGGTAATTATTGATAACCCAATCAATTTCGCTAACGAGATAAACAAATTGCTTGATAACTTCGTCATTTTCAATCCGTTTCGCACATCGTTTTGCAGATGTTTTGATTTGCAGAGAGGCAGTTGAGTGGTCTAATCAAGTTGATGTTTCTGTAATTTGTGATGATACTGATTTGCTTGTCATTTTACTGCACATGACAAAACACTTTGCATTTGACCACCAACTGTTTCTCACCACCAAAAGCTACATCTATGACATTGAGAAAATTCAAAGTGCGACAGGTAGGAGGTACGTAAACATGATACTGCTGCATGCCACGCTTTCACTGGATCAGACACCACCAGTCGGATCCACGGAGTTGGTAAGGATAGGCTCTTCAGAACGATCGCATCCATCGATGAAAGTGTAATAGATGCTTTTTATTCGGCAAATTCTACACCAGCTACTATAAAGCATGTCGAAGAACTTTTGATGCTGCAGCCGATTTCATCAAAATCGAGATCACTAGATGAAGCTAGACTTTCAGTTCTTGAACAGAAGTCGCAATCTTTAACAGCAGACATCAAGTGAGAACAGCTCCCGCCAACATCTGGGGCAGCTGAACAACATTCTTATCGTGTTTACCATCAGCTGCAGGCGTGGGATAAGAATGACCTAGATCCGATAAGCTGGGGATGGAAGATGAACAATAGGGCGCATGTACCAGTGACCACTCTTATGAGTACAGCTCCGAAAAAGCTCATTCAAAAAATCAGTTGCAACTGTTTAAAGTCAGGTTGTGGCAATGCTTGTTCATGCAGAAAAGCAGGAATACATTGTGGATCAACCTCAAATGTCAGGACAATTGCACCTATGTGCCAGCTGAGGACTCATAAGTTAGACTCTTATCTAGTATACATGGTTATATAAAGTACCACTTCGATTTCCCGATTAATTTAATGAAAATTTGTTAATTATTCGTGATATGTAATTTTAAAATATTTTGATCAAAAATAATTTGTATAATTTTTGAATATTTGTTTAATAATCGAATTAACTAATTAATTAATTATCTAATCCAAAGGTTGTCAGATAAAAAGTTGTTCTCTTTTATAATTTGAACACATTGGTTCAATCTAGAACCTTCTACGAAATTCAGAAGTCGTTTTATTAGCGGAGATTCGATGTGGTAAAAAGTGGTAAATAGTGGTTTTTCTTTACAAATTACGAAAATTTTACAAGTCCAAAATATTGAAAGTGAAAATTTTTATAAAAATTAGTTCATTATACGTGGAATGTAATCGTGAACATTTTTTATGAAAATATATTTTTGAAATATTTGAAAATTTATTAATTATTTAATTAATTAATTAAATAATTTATTTTTGAAAAAGTTGTTAAAGAAAAAGTTGTTCTTTTTTGTTTTCTTAACACAATGATTTAAACTAGAGTCTTCTAGGATATTCAGAACGTGACTTATTTACAGAAAACCAAAGTGGTAAAAAGTGGTAAAAAAGTGGTAATTGTGGATTTTCCTGAAGTCGAGGATTTTGGGAACTCTCTGGAATGATTCCTGGGACCTGTCCCGACCATATCCCGTTAAAATCGCTTTGTTGCGAATTTTGTCCGACAAAAAGACGGATTTGACTGTACTATTGGAAGGGCGGGAAAACTCTATATAAGGACGATACACGGATACAGTTGATTCAAGTATAGGGCAGTTGATGTAAACATCGTCACAAAATGATACGACATCGTAAATAGGTTACATTTTGCGGGGAAAGTCTATATAAGGACGATACACGGATACAGTTTATTCAAGTATAGGGCAGTTGATGTAAACATCGTCACAAAATGATACGACATTGTAAATAGGTTACATTTTGCGGGAAAACTCTATAAGTCTATATATAAGGATGATACACGGATACAGTTGATTCAAGTATAGGGCAGTTGATGTAAACATCGTCACAAAATGATACGACATCGTTAATAAGTTAAATTTTGCGGGAAAACTCTATATAAGGACGATACACGGATACAGTTGATTCAAGTATAGGGCAGTTGATGTAAACATCGTCACAAAATGACATCGTAAATAGGTAAAATTTGGAAAAAATGATTATAGAATGAAATAGTCTGTGATTAACATATTACATACGAGTATTGCTGAAAGCACAGTGTAAGGCCTACACGGACCGCCTCTAACTAGCCAATCCCTGTTTACATGCCGTGTAGCAGGGGACTAGAAAGAGCTAAACTAGTAAGCGGGGCATAGCCAATACACTATACTCCCATCATTGAGTATATTACCAATATAAATACATTATAAAATGGGCAGGGGTTTTTATATTTCCTGTATCTTTGTATTAATTATTTCGGACTGTAATTAGGACTGTTCACGTGAAAGAAATTGTATCTAAATTTTACAATGACGTACTCGTATGTGACGAAATTTACATTTCTTGACCCTATTTTGAAGAACCATACCTCGGTTAGAATTCAATGTTCTTCCAGGAATTATTGCTTGGTTATTCTTTAGCAAATTAGAACTCAAGTTTAACAATGCTGAGTTTAATTTTACTAAGTTACTGAAATGTGACGAAATTTACTTTTCCTGCCCCAACAGTATAATTTCAATGTGATGAAAAATTGGCATGGGTTTCTATATTTCCTGTATAAATCCATTCTAATTATAATAAGGACTATTGGTATGAAAGAAAATCTATCTAAATTTTAAAATTACGTATGTGACGAAATTTACATTTCTTGCCCCTATTTTAAAGAACCATACCTCAGTTAAAATTCAATTTTCTTCCAGGAATTATTGGTTGGTTATTGTTCAGCAAATTATAACTCAAGTTTAACAATGCTGAGTTTAATTTTACTAAGTTACTGAAATGTGACGAAATTTACTTTTCCTGCCCCAACAGTATAATATCAATGTGATGAAAAATTGGCATGGGTTTCTATATTTCCTGTGTAAATCCATTCTAACTATAATAAGGACTGTTGATACGAAAGAAAATCTATCTAACTGAATCTAATGCAAGGGCTGATGTGACAAAATTTACATTTCTTGCCCCCTATTTTGAAGAATCATACCTCGAATAGGATATAATTTTACTTTATCATCATACCTATGTCGATAAACTAGTTATTTTGCCAACAAATAGCAAATAAAGTTATCATATTTTTTTGTGACGAAATTTACAAATTTTTACCATGTTCAGGTGTTGAAATTTTGCCAATGCTAACATATCACTGCCATATAATAATTTATATGACCGGTGTGTGGTTGAAATATTGTTAATTGATCCATAGTACGTAATATATGGTGTTTAAGTTGGTATACTACTATTTACTCAATTTCACACATGTTGAGATATCATACAAATGTATGTGACAAAGTTTACCCATTTCTGCCTTCTGTATTAATTGTATTTGCCTATAACAATGAAATATGTGAACAATTCCAAACATATTCAGCTCACAAAATAATGCTAGACTATTCGGCATTTCTTGTCAGGATGTCATAAACATCCCTCATATAAATTTCTTAAATGTGTGACAGAGTTTACATGGTGCTACCATTTAACGAAAAAAGTCGCTAAATATGTAGATAATAGTCATATGCAACTATCCTATAAATTTGAAATTCGAAAATTTGGTCAAACACGGCAACAAGGGGTCCATATAAACTCTGTCACATTTTTATAGTGTGACAAAGTTTACAACTCACTGCCGGCCGCATTTAAGCGATATCTTATCGTCTGATAAAGATATCTTTATGCGACAAAGTTTATCTAGAGGATGAAACGATTATCCTAACCATTGAGGGTTTATATAGTTTTATAGTGTGACACATTTTACATCATCGTGCCATTTAGTAGGGTCACTAATATTTACCAATATCCTCAAACTTCAATGAACGTGTCCATAAAAGAGAAAAGATATATATATATAATATAAAAAATAAGAGAAACACCTATTTCACATCTAATCGAAGATATTGAAAAACAAAACAAATAATCATCTAAAAACCATATAAAGATAAGAAATATTTAAATAGTATTATAAGTTAACAAACACGTATTATTAAAACGAACCGAAAGCACAAGTTGAGCAGGAACATAAGACTTCTCCTCACACCAGTGCTTGATGATGGTGACATCTCCCTCAGATTTAAAAGAAGGAACTTTACCTCTTATCTTCCTGACACAGATCATCACTCTCACATCTCCTACTTCAATACCCCAACGTGATTTCAACCTGTGGGGAAAATGTGTTGATACTTTGTGCTGATTGGTTGGTTTGTGACACGTGGTTTTCATCACGTGGTGTATTATTTCAATCCTCAAATTTTCAACTTTAATAGCCCACTGCGATTTTAATCTGCGGTGTGGATAATGTAAAGGGAAGTAGTATATAGGTCGGATACCGCGATATGTTGCATAACAGTGACTATAAACTTGTTGAGTTTTATACCATTGGCTGGATTGATGCGGCTAGAACGATGGAATCTCCTATGAGAGATGAGAGAAGGACAATCAGGAAGTATGCCACCCACATTCCACAAAAAATCATAATATTACAAGTTGACTTACGCAATGCACTCTCGACTCTTCAAGTGCTTGAAACAATCCTTCTTGTTCTGAACAGCAGCACTCTTACTCACACAGCTGTCTTCAAGCACGTAATCGTGTTCCTCCGTGTGCACCCCTGGGTATTATTAATTAGTAGGTAATTAGTATAATTAAATCTTCATAATCACCAACACAGAATGATCACTTATTATGATCTTGTGGGTTTTTGATTGACTAGTAAGGGTAACTTAACAAGTAATTTTTCATGATATAACTATATAAGTTAATTATCTCCGTAATTTAGCTTATAATAATGACAAGATATATTGGCAGAAATTACAATGAAGTTTTGATATTTAGTTATTTGTTTTAGGAAAAGATTAGACTTGGGCGTTGTTTTTAACTATCCCTTGTTTAGAACTTTTATTTAATTAAGTTAATTAACTAATTAGTTAATTATTTAATTAACTAATTACCTACGACCATAGCCTCTACAAGGTGAGGATACTGAACATAAACCTCCTCCCCCAGCAGTGCAGTGTACCTCTCTAGAGGTGTCTCTGATTGTGGGTCTATGTTGAGGATACAGTTCTTGTCCTTGCTTCCAAACTGGAATATCTTACACCCAGCTTGTGCGAACTCAATCTGAAGGGAGTAATGGTTATTTTAACATAGTTTAATAATGATAATATTAATTATATAGATGGTGTTTTAAACACTATATTACTATTAAGTGACACTAATTATACTTTAAACACTATAATACTTAATTTTAAACATATCCACTGTATAGTGTATAGTATAGTGTATAACACAATTTAACTGATGGTGGTATATTGTTGTAAATTTTGGGTCTAATAACACTGAAAGATCTTTGCCCCCATGACATTTAAATTATCAAAGTTGAAAATTTAACGTTTGAAAATTGTTCAGTGCGCATTTTCCAAATAACATTAAAACTGCAAACCTCGTGTTTTAGATGAGTGGAAGTAGGGAAACCCATTCTGAATGGATCAACTGCCTTGTCAGGGAAGATCCAGGTCAACTGATCGGGAGGTATGAGGAAACAGGCTTTGTCTCTGAACTCCATACTGAGGTTTTTTAGTAATTACTGGACTGATTAGCTAATGAGTTTGTTAATTACTGGATAATTACTGGGCTGATTAGCTAATGAGTTTTTGAATTGGCGGATAAATTAATAGGCTTCTCAATAGAATAATTAACTAATTGAACTGAAATTAATTATCAGACTTAAGTGCTGGGGCACTCTTTATTCTCAAGGGCTGAGGTAGTACAACTACGGATTATTCAGCCCATATTTCATCTAAGAGATGTTTACAGAGTTTATTTGTGCAAACAAAAATAGAAAAAAAAAGAAGAAATTGCGTATCATGTTGAGTTGAATGAAATGAAACTCAATATCTAATCATGGTCCGAATAAATGTTACTCACTTTGTATAAGAAGGTTTGAGATCGGGAAAAACACCAGGATAAGATGAAGGGTAGAGACTAGTGTTGTTAGGATCAAACGTTCCTATCAAACAGTCCCCGTGCTTGTTCCTGGCCTTCTCGTCGTCTGTCATACGGGACAAGGGCGCGGACATGGCATCTACTAACCGTTCCTGATAAGAGTGGTCACGTACAATCAGGAGAATAACTTTAAAATATCATCAAAGTATACTTTGATGATATTTTAAAGTTATTCTTAAGTAATAATAACTAGAAATTCGTACATCGCTTTATAACCAAAAAATTTGCATAATTTCTGTCTCGGTCTTTGTCCCTTTAAACCCAAAACTGGGAAAACAAGTAGGAATTTTATAGATAACCAGATCACTGCAGCGACAAACCTCATTGATAAAGCTGATAAGAACAACGGCTTCCCATTCTTGCTTTTTACCGTTCAAGTCTGTTTTGAAAGTTCTTGGGTAGAAATCTGCGATAGGAGAGTCCTCTCGGTACAGCTCCTAAAGATTTGGTCTTAAAATAAATTCTTATGAAAAATTTGTATTATATTTATAAATAGCAGTGATAATAATATTATGTAATAAATCATATTAGATAATTGAAGTTTCATAAAACCACTGTTCACTATTAAAATAAAACTTAAATATTACTCAACAGTATTTAATCTATACATTCTAGAAATTTACTTACTATTATATACTAGGTAAGAACTGGACACTCATGCTTGAAAAGATATCGATAATACTGATGCATAGTATGAAACCAAATAACAAAAGATGTTACACCAATTATGACCAAGATAACTTATCAATAAATTTTCTCAAGTTCGTGAAGCTATAATAGGAAAGTTTTAAGAAGATCTATAAAATATTCCAGAGATTGGGACGATGAGATTATTATATGTTAACAGGAAGACGACTGTACAATGTACATCTTAGGAGCCACTCGCTACTACAGAGAAGCTACGCTCACCAAGCTGAGAATTTAAAGATAGGATAAAAAGTTTCAATGAGAGACTATTAAGTGAGTATCTGAACATGTCTTGCAGATAATATTATATAATGTACGTCAATTATTTTCAAATTAAAAAGTTAAAACGTTTTTCTGCTGTAAAGTAAACTATAGCGCTGACACCTAATCATGCCTTATTGATAAACTAATAGAATTGTGGGATCTCACATTCAACACAGTACAATTAATGTTATTAATGATATTTTAGTAAATTATTATCATCAATAACATTAACAAAATAAGAATTAAGGCTTGATCGACTACAGGCCGTGCGCAGGGGGGAGGCGATGCAGACTGCCTGAATAGTGGTAGGTAAATGTTTGCTCTTCTCAAAAGGGCAAAATGTCATGAATTTTTGATAACGACAGAAAGGTTCCAACAATCACACAATTAAATAATTAACTAATTAACTGATTAACTAATTACAAACCTGAAGAGCGGTAGGTAACAGCTTGCTGCTCCCGTAAGGAAACACTGCCATCAGTTGTTGGAAGGGACAAAAAGGTTCTGATAGGTCGAGATCTATGTTCATTTCGGCTACGTTTGATAAGTCAGAGAGGTAAGGTGCGTAGTGGTATGGGTAGAACCTGACAATTAGTATAATTAATTAATTAGTAAATTAGTAAATTGGTAAATTTCGCTATTATGAGACATAAGGTTAAACACAAACTTAGTGAATAAACTGGGCTTTTTGGAACTTACGTCAAAATGAAAAGGCCAAAAGGTTCAGCGACTACCGACTAAAAACATCAAATTATATATGCAACCTCCTTATAATAATAATAAATTGAAATTTAATAACACCGCTTTTAAGATAAAACTTATACTCAGCAGTTTTTAAACTAGTCATCCCAGAAAATAACATGAAAACTAAGTAAAGAAAAGTAACTTATGCTTGAAAACATATCGTCAATACAAAAGCCAGAAAATAGTGTACTTTTAAACATACAGGGTGGGCCAAAAGTCAGTACCCATACGTTGGCCTGAGTAGCTCCGCCGTGTTTTATATTTGAGAGCTGTTGCTTTGCAGTTGGCATACTGTACTTACTGGTTCGAGGATTCCGTCGTCAAAATTTGAAAATTCGAATATTTTAGACCACGCCCATTCAATATTAAAACACCTATATTGTGTTCTCTGAACATGCTGAACCCCTAATTTTTTCAGAGACGGTAAATTATTAAATGTTGCATATGATCTGAAAATATGAGGCAAACCGGATTAGAAATGACGAAGTTACCAAGCATTTTCTGTATCTCGTTAACAATATTGACTGGGTGATTATGTGACATCGTGACACGACACCTTAATTGGGCACCCTTAACAATTCCCATAATGTTTAACGGGGTATTAAACGGGGGCACCTTATCACGTGATTAGGTAAACCATTCACCTGATCACACGTAATGAATAAACTCGTTATGCTTCATATCTCGGTCATCTGAGAAGCTACAGTTCTAATTCTTTCAGGACAAACGTAATTCGAATGGCCAAACACAATTCAATAATATTTAGCTTGATCCGACTATCCAAACTATCAAATAAATGTGAAAATGAACCTCCATTTGAAAAAAATGAACGCGAATATTTTTCGAGTTGACAAATTCCTCGAACCAGTGGTGGTACTAAGTCATACCAGAAAGAAGTATTTAAATTGGGCACTCAGTGACTGAGCTATAAAGGCCAACGTATGGGTACTGACTTTTGGCCCACCCTGTATTATGCAAAGATCAAACACCAGATAAGACAAAAATAGTTATTGATAAAGTTTTTCAACTTATGACTAATATAATATATTAAATATATAAATTAAAATATTATCAATTTTAAAACTCACCAGCTCCAGCTCTGACAGCCTTGATAATAATACGTGAGAATCCACTTCAGTCCTTCCACGTACTTCAACCCGATCTCCTTTTGAAAATCAGGTACTGCCTTCTCTGTCAGCTCAAACTTGTCCATGTAATACCTGAATTCCATTGTCGCATTATTAGAGTGTAAAATCCGGATCGGAACATTGTTTATGAGTCGCATAGTTAAAATGTTTCTTGGGTAAAATTTGTATTGATCCCGTTTGATGCGACAAGGAAAAGGCTCTTATCAGGAAAGGAATTATTCTTATTTAAATTCTTATTACTAGAGTCGTCGCATAAAAATGCTATGACGTATTATTATAGCAGAGCAGTACAGTATCGACCTATTATAGTATTATAATGTGTGCACTGTGCCTGGCGCGCACAGTGCACACATTATGTATATTATGTTCTATCTTTAACAGTAATGAATGTCCACCAAATATTTCGATTGTTTCAGTATCAACTGTAATTCCCCATCGACTGCTTTTGAAAATCCAATGAAACTATAATGAAGAATTAGTTGAACTAACCTTTTCTTCTGAGTTTTAAATTCGTTCTGTAACATGTCAACCTCCTCCTCGCTATCCTCTGTTTCACCCTCACTATCAACCATCATCATTGCTCCGAACTTTTCCTTTAGCTGTGAAAAAAAGAAGCTGCTATAATATATTAGTTTTATTCTATGAAATTATAAGCTGTTGTTTAACTTTTATATTATTATAAATAGTTTTATATTATGAAATAAGCTGTTACATTAGTTAACAAAAATTATATATACGCTATACGACTCCGAAGCAGCGCCCCAGTCAACTATTAATAAGTTAATTATAATAATATAAGTTAATTTAACAGTGCAAGTCTAGAAAGCGATCTATTAATTTAAAACTCCTTGTTTCAAAGTAAGATTTAATTTAACTGACCCTGTCGGTTTCAGACTGTTTGTCAGTCTTGCTCTTCCTCTCCTCAGCTTTACCTGCCATCCACTTCAAATCCTCGTACTGTACCTCAAACCTTTCCAGATCAAACCTGGAGATATTATCATTGTTTTAGGGTACACAGTGATTGTACTAGATGGATATTGGATAGTTGTCAATGAGAACTTTTTTGAAGTGCATACTTTTATTATTTTCATATTGAGTCCCGCTTGAATTACTTCAATATACATCTTCTTTGGGTATATTTTTAATGCGAAGCGTGTGATAAATGTTAGAATTTATTTGTTAATTATTTAAAGGTATACCTGGAAAGGACCTCCAAATAGGTACCAAGGTGCTTCATGTTCATTTCACCGTTCAAATGCAGATAATCTGAAATTAAGAAGCTAATATTCTGAGTATTGTAAATTTTAAGAAGCCGAAAAATAAATCTAGAATTTCTTGATCAATTAATGATGGTTTATTATCAAGTTTTTAATAAATTCTCGTTTAGTGTTAGTCAACAAAAATCTAGTGTAACATACAAAACGAGTATGAGATACCAATGATAGTAAAAAATTCACACATTACTCTGCCTCAAAATGACCCTTAATCAAATCTGAGGCTAAAACATCCTCCACCACTTACCATCAAGGCTAGGTCTAACATCCTTGTAGGTCTGCCACAAGGTGGGGAGAGATCCAGCGTGAATGTGAAAGTCAGGTAGATGAGGTATAAAGTCGTTACCCACCAGGAAGGTCAACAGAACAAAGTCGTCTATTATCCTTTCCAGATCGTACGCGTCTCCCAGAGCTTCCTGGTTTAGTTGAAGACGTTTTATTGATAGTGGAAAGTGGAATACATTTTTTTTTCTAAAACATAAGATTTACGGCACTACCTTCAATCATCGTAGAATCTCAGAAATATAAATCATGGGTATGGTACTTATCACAATCAATCGGAATTGCAATCTTAAAGCAATTACATGCATGCAGAATGCAGGCGGTCGCGGTGTGTTAAAAAACCTTCAAACAGTGGAACTCTTTATCGATGTACTCTCTGAACAGAGATAAATGAAGGAGATGGAAACACTGTTCGTCGGCCGATGTTATTCTTTTTTGGGCCTTCCCGAACTTAACTTCCTCTCGGAGTAGGGAAAAGTGCACCTCGTGAGTCACAAGACCCAGTAGAATCTGAAATATTTTCGAGGGTTATGATTTAGAGAACGGTATATTTTTTTTAATGTCTTTAGCACGAACCCATAACTCCAATCCACCAAACCGTTTGCAACTGATAGTAACACCTAAGTCCCAGAAGCCCTCTAATATTAATTCCACCACACCCGGTACCCACTATCTTATCTCACTATCTTATCTCACTATCTTATCTCACTAACTCACCAGATCAGCGTCCAGTCCGTACAGACAATGTCTGGTCTCTGGGTCATAGTCAGGCTGCTGCTTGGTGTATCTGATGTACTCCATTATCTTGTGTTCACCTTCACCTGGAACCTGAACACATGTACTAGTTAAGAGTCACGATTTTAAAGTCAAGAACAAAAAGTCAAGAAATATTAATTGCTGAAATATCAGACTGCTGGCTTATTGCCAACATACTTATGCAGGGAATCGATTATATGTGTAACTTACGTTGTGACCGGAGAGAACAACTTTAACTTTCTGCCAAGCTGGGTCACTGCTCATCTTCTTATTGATAAAGTACTTCAATTGTTCGTGTAACTTGCACATGAACTCGGTACCTGATAATTACATCTAATTATCCCTGACTATTACATCTCATTATCAGTATCTATCAAAACTTCATCGGCAGATAAGAACGCAGATTTTAAATCCTTTCAATCAGTAATTGGATCCTAAAATGAAAACAAAATGATAGACTACAAAAATATGACCCTCACCAGGAGTAATGCAGTTTGAATCAAACTTATCCTCGGACGGAAGTGTTTCTCCCTTAGCTATTGCGTCTTTCATTTGCTGCTCCACATCCATTGCTGATCTGGAAAGATATTATTTTGTAACTCTTAAAACCCCTTATCATGCGATAAGATTACAAATTCTTTTACAAAGGAAGCATTTTAAAATTGTAGATGGATAAGATCACAAATCATCCAAACTTCACAAGTATCAAATTATAAAAACCTGAATCTCCTGGCTCTTTGCTGGTTCATTTTAGCTCTGGGTGCGACCCCATCAACTGCCATGAAGAATAACTTCTTGGGCTTTATCAGTCGGAATAAGCACTGCAAGGTTTTAATTTTCATCAACTCAAAAACATTAATATTGATCACAAATTTTCTTTGTTTATAATTATTTGTCCTTGAAATATCTTAATTTAATTCTATTAGATCTCAATAAGGGTGCTCAAGAAGAGAAGTTTAAGAATAAAACTGGTAAGTTTACCAGTTAGTACGTCACACAAACCTCTATGTAGTTAAATATGTTCTGAAATATTTCCTGTTCTGATATTCTAAAGTGCGCATCTTCGTCATTCGGATGTGAGCAGGGATGAATAATTCCTGAAATTGTATCTCGTTAACGATGGAGACCATTCTAGAAGGCAGTGGTTGCAACAACCATAATTTCTACTATTTGCCAGATTTCCACATCTATGGTTCGATTTAAAACATTTCCTTGTGTTTCACTAACCGTTCATATCAAGGTATATGTTATCAAACTCGGGGATCTGGTACTCCTTGATAACCTGACTGAGGCAAGGATACCGTTCTGAGATCCAGCGGTAGAACTTCGGAACTCCCATAACAACATAGGTCTAGAGGAATGTCGTGTTTTAGGTATGTTGTGTTTTAGGAATGTACCCAATGTAGCATACCATATAAGTTTATGAGATACCATGCCGTTTAAACAAAAATCCAAAATATGTAAAAGTTGAAAATGCACCGTCACTAAAGCATACCTTTAACAGGTTTTAGGTTTGTAGTTAATCATGAGAATGGCGTTCTTGCAAAAGAATCGCATAAATTTGATGGCCAGTTTTTACGAAAGAAAAGCAGCTGAGATAACGAAACGCAGCTGAAATAAACGGTTATTCTGTCTTGTGATGAAAATTTCTCGGCAGTCAAAAGTCAGACAGCAAAATGGATAATATGTAAGTTTAGAAATCTATTAAAGTATGTATTTTACGACACTAAATTATACTTTTAAAATATTATAATTAGACAACAATAAGCATAGTTTATTGTCAATTAAAACACAAATATTAATCATGCTAAATTTTAAGAAGAGCATGTTTAACTTGTTTAATTCATGATTATTGTAATAAACAATGGATATGTTATTATATCAAAGATTATCTTAATAAACGGAATACAAAAACACCTAAAATTAACCATCTACATACATTAAAATCTGCATACCACATAATTTTATAAGATACCATGCCAAAACAAAAAGCCACAATATGTAAAAGTTGACAACGCACCGTCACTAAATCATGACTTAAACAAAAGAATATAATATTATAATTTAAAACTTTGCCAGACAGCTAAGAGTCTTTACAACCATGTAAATTTGCTATCAAATCATACTTAGGACTCAACTTCTCAGCTTTCACAAAATCGTTATTCTTCAAAGCTTCATCAATCTCATTTTTCAACCTGACCACCTCAGAGTTAAACAGCTTAGTTTCCTCTCCTATTTTCCTCAGCAATAGCTCAACACTCTCCTCACATTCAGTACTCAGCTCATCAGCTCCTTCAACAACTCCTACAGTCCTGCGTTTAACCATGTTTAGGAAGGAGTAGGTGTAGCAAGCATCGTATTCTAGAAGAGATCGAGATATTGTGCTGATGTCGGAGGGTATTGCCTTCAGAGAGGTTAGAGTGGAGATAAGGTTTGATATTAAAGCTTTGTAGCATTCTTTGTCGAATAACGATTGTTGTATCGCAGCTTTGTCTAAGAGTTCTCCTAATGCTTTGGAGTAGTTTTCCAGCTCTGACTCGTCTTCTTGCCTTGTTTTTTCAACTTCAGCAATGTTTTCAGTAAGTGAATTTAGGTGGGAATCGATTTCGGCTTCCTCTTTTGATAGTTTAGCAGCGTCCTGAAAACGCTTTTTATTAATGGCTTCACTCTTTAAACCTTGACAATTCTGTAAATTTGTCTTTGCCATGAGCTCATCACTTTTCAACTGAGAAATCTTCCGCTGATGGTCAAACACATCACTTGATTTCAACTCAATGAGCTTTTCTTGAGTAGATATTTCATTGATAATATCAGACAGAGACTCCGGGATAGAGAGTTTATTAGAAACGTCAGTAGAGACTGAGACGTGCACTTCGTTGATTATTAAACCTTCGTTGGCAGAAATTGAATCGCATGTTTTGGTCTTCAGTTCGGTAAGGTTGTCGTTCACTCTGTCCTGAATTGAGTTTATTTTATCAAGTTTTGAGGAGTAGGTTTCAAAATCGGCTGTCTGCTTGGCAAGGTTTGATTTATCATTCTCCAAGGAAACTGATTTAATATGACAACTGTCTTTTTCCTTTTTCATGTCCAACAGCTTTTGTTGATGTAGTTTTTCAGCTTCAACTTTGTCGACGATAAGTTTCTTCTTTTCTTCAAGGATTGCATTTTCTTGCGACTTGAGTTTTCTAAGTCGCTCTTCAAGAATTTTGATCTCAGATTGTACACCTACAAGCAGCTCATCTTGGTATTGCATCTGAAATAACCAGGGATTAATTAAAAGGTCAAAAACGAGAAGAAAAGTAAAATGGGTAAGCAACGAATAATTTGTGATACACCGACAAATTTGATGCCAAGAAAACAATATTTCATTCACGATAACAAAAATATGAATGGTACTTGCTAAATGGAAATAGGTAACATAGCATTGAGTGATAATACTGTGCTTACCTGTAGATTATGGTCGTCTGTACTGACTCGAAGTTCATTCAATAAATTAGTTTCCCTTTGCTCCAAATAGTCCGTGTCAATTGTAAGATGTTTCATCCGACAATCTAGAGCGTTCTGAGCACTAGCTAATTCCTGCTTTTGTTTGTCGATCTTGGACGAACACTGAACTTCTATCTTTTTTGTTATTGATCTGAATCTCGTTGATAGTTCGTCCAGTCCAACACAGAAATTCTTCAAAGACTCAACGTGATGTTTCCTTTTTGTATTCAGACTTCTGAGCTTGTCTTCAGTTGAGTCAAGTTGTCTGGGAGGCTGGAATTGTAATAGTTGAGATTGCTGTACGTCTTTGAGGACATCATCTAAAGAATTCTGCAGTTTATCGGCCTCATCGTATGAGTTCGTATCAATAGCTGTTTTTATTTTTGTCTGCAGTTCCTTAACCAGACTGGCAGATTTCTCAAACTTAAGCAGTTTATGAATTGACAACAATGAACTAGCTCTGATAGTGTCTTCACACAGTTTCATCTCCTCTAATATCTCACTGCTACCAGAATCATGATCGATCTTTATACCATTCAAATCAAGCTCAAAATGCTCGATCTCAGATGAGGCTCTATCAAAGAAGAACGTTGTTTTGTTAGACTCTTTCATCGGTTCCGGTGAAAATCTGGGAAGGTTTGGTGGTTTCTCTTTTGATACCTCCCTAGAGGCAGGTGCAGATCCTCTGAATGAAATTGTTGGTAAAGGAGCAAGCTCATCCTGAGAGGCTTTATTAACTGCTGGAGTACTGCCATGCTCACGTACCACAGGTTTACTGGATCTGGTCCAGGTTTTTGGTAACCCAGAAGCTGCACTTTGTGACATCTGTCGCTCCCCTGAACTGCTCCTTGGTCGATTACCAGGGGTCATGTCTCTCCGAGGACCCATCTGGCGGGGATCAAGAGAGTGAGGTTCTAAAGGGTAGCTGTCTGGAGGAAGTTCCTCTTCTTCGATCAGGTTACTCGGCAGAGAAGTGCCCTCGTGGGATGGACCTGGGGGGAGGAGGACGGAGGAGGAATTGTCGAACTGGTAGTTGGAGTTGTGGAGAGGACGACTGCTTGATGATCCGTAGCTTTGTAGGGAGTTTGTCATGGAGAATTTGGCGTCGGTTTTGCCGAACAGTTGAAGACCATCAAACATTGACCCTTTGGACGTAGACGTGTCCATGGTGTCTTATAGGTTTGATATATTATTTCTGATACACGTGCCGCAAAAGGATCATTTGAGGTGAAGAGATTCCAGGACGACAAGAAGATTTTATAAAGAAGTTGAAACGCTAGGATGTCTTGAAAAGCTAGTCAAACTTTATAGTGAAGTAATCATTCTGTAAGCTGGAGAAGGAAGTTCATTTACTACTAATTATCGTTAATAGACTATGTTCAAACAAAAATTAGGTTGAATTATACGAAGAATAAATTTAATCAGTCGTTCGGTCTTACTACAAATTGACATAAAATAAAACGAATAGCTCTATTTTCTTGCAAAATAAATTATATGATACGAACAATATTGATATCTAACATCAGTGATAAATAAATAATTCTACAATCATAGAACAATGTAAACATAGTGTATGATTTAACAATAGAATATTATAAATAATATAATAATAAATTTGATATAATATTTAATTATATTAGAATATTATTATATTCATAATGTCAAAAAACTCGAAACTATTAAATCTATATATTCCATCATTATTTACATTTTTATATTCAAAATGTCATAAGATTATGTCATAATATAAGATTTATCGTTCAAACAAACTATAAATGACTATGACGTATGGAATACAAACACTTAAATTACACCAAAACCAACGTAGGAACTCACAACTCAAAAAAAGTCACCAAATAAAATGAAGCCCACCAGGAACCCGATTCTAACAAATTTATACAGTCATTATAACAGACCATAAAACATTAAAAAGAATTAAGTCGAGACTCGAGATGCTTAGTCAAAATACTATCAATGAATATATCCTAAAAACGTTACTCAATGTTTCGACGTTCAACTCCTCAAAAAGTTCAGTTTCTCTTGCGCATTATTCACAATCCATGGATGATTCATGATATCGTTTAACGAGGGTCTCAGTTTAGCATTTGATACGAGAATCTTTGAAATTAGCTCGGCTGCTTCAGGGTTTACGTATTCTGGAATTGAGTACTGAAACAATAGTCTGTTAGTCGGTTTTATTTTCAAAAATTAACCTCTGGTGTTGGTACATCTCAAAAGTTCTTAGTTTTTGATAATTTTGCTATTTTTCATTAAATGAGAGTTTTTGAAGCGTCCCAATTCCAAAATTATACCTCATTTAAGTTGGGATGATTTTACCACTTGCACTATGTGTTTATATGTATTAAATCTTCTAACTGAAACCTCTGCATCATTTAAATCACCTTGCAATGTTTAATGTGAGACATAGTTTCAGCTGTTGTTTTCAACTCAAACGGTGGTTTTCCCACCAAGAACTCGTAAGTCAGAATACCAAGACACCAAATATCAACATTCTCATCGTACTGAAAAACGGAGATTATAATTCTGATTTGAACAGAAAAAATTATCTATGTATTCTCAAAATATTCTAAAATCATTGTATATACAGTGTAGTTATAATCTCTGATCATTCTAACCTGAACAATGTATTATATACAGTATAGTTATAATTTCTAACTCATTCTAACCTGAACAATGTATTATATATACAGTATAGTTATAATTTCTAACTCATTCTAACCTGAACATTGTCTATCATCTCAGGAGGCAAGTAATCAACAGTTCCACAAAGTGTAGTCCTTCTTGAGTCGGGAGAATGGATTGACCAACCAAAGTCTCCGAGCTTCAGCAGCAAGTTCTCGTTGGAACCTGGAGGGTGTGTTCTGTTTTGATTTAATTAATTTGTCTTCATAAATATTGCCAGTCGAAATATAGTCCCAAATAAAATCATAGTTTTACAGCAAATTTATCAAAAGGATGACACCAAGTTCGCACATTCTGCCCAGTTATAGCTTATAGTAACCCATCTACATTCTAGAAGTTAGGTTTCTACATAATATTTTGTTGTCAGTGATAAGTTTCGACTGTGATTGATTTTGGACACGACTGTTATACTCAGAGGAAAATTAAGAATAAAAAGGAAAGCTGCCCTGTAAAATGTGTAACCAAGAGTTTTCAACTTAACAAGTATAGCTACCTGGCTCAGTGCCGAGTAGTATGTTCTCAGGTTTGATGTCTCGGTGGAGAACGTTGTGTTTGTGAATGTAATCTAGGGCGTTGGCCAGCTGTTTTACCAGAGTTGCGGCAGTCTTGTCGTCAAACCGTTCCATTTTCTTCAGATGACGATAAATGTCACCTTCCCTCGCATATTCTAACACTATGTATATTTTCGCTGAAAAATTATTGAATTTTAAAAATCATAAGAATTTGTCTCGGAAAATTATGGGATAAATTGTAGGAAAATACACCCGGTGAAGTAAGAAGTACCAGGCACCTGCTCAAAACTGGAGCAATATTACAAGCACACAAATTTCTTCCACAAAATAGGAAAAATGTAAACTATTTTCACCACAGAAATGAGTTTAGTGGCAATATTTCAGGTTATAATCAAAAGTATTAAAAGGGATTTACTAGTTTGACTTACCAGCATCGTGAAAGTAACCATACAATCGGATGATATTAGGATGTCTGAGTCTACACTGAATCTCCAACTCCCGTTTTAACTGATGCATCACCTCGTTTCTCTCCAGATCCACCTTATCGAGACATTTGATGGCAACGACAAACCGACTCTTTTTCTCACGGGCAAGGTACACTTTGCCAAACTTCCCTTTACCTAGTGGTTTACCTGCAAAGAATAAACATGTACATTTAAAAAAATCTATTATGAAATATTGCTAATCTGTTAAATGATATTACCGAACGTTAAGTATAAATTATTGGTTTTAAACATATTTCTTAATTTACTATTATCAATTTAATATTGTTCAAGAAGATAATAGCTTATAATAATGATGAAGTTCGAAACCAACCTATTTCAAAGTCATCAATTGTCCAGGCTTGTTTCTTCTTTTTGGTATTTTCTTTGTTTGTTCCACTGCGTTCTGCATTTTCTTTGTCAAACTCTCTGAAACTGTCTGGATGGCTGTCAGACACAGCTTTTGCTCCAGCTGTCGTGCTGTCTGTATCCATGGTTGGAAACAGCTGTCAAGAGAGATTCATTAGATGTAATGGATAGTTGGTTAGAGAGAATTTGTAGCTATAAACGTTCTAACATTGGGTATCTATATAACCTTTATGATTTAAATATTTCTATTCATTGGGAATGGATTTCGAAGAGCCTGGTTTTAATATTTACTGAAATAGTAAAAATATATCAAGGGATTTTTATACTGTGAAAAACTGCATTTCACACAAATTTCTTGCATCATAACATTATTTACAGTTAACATAATATTATCATCTTGACATCAATTACCTCAATATTCAACACTAAATCTACAACAATGTAGCAATTTTACAACAATTAAAATCAGTTCACATTGGTCCATAAATGAAGTAACGATATAACTTGGAAAATATGAACTCTTTCAAAAGTTCTAATTAAAGTATTAAAAATACAAAATTGTCTCAAAAAATGGTCATAATCATAAGTTGGCTAATTTTATAATAATCAAATTCATTCAGGTTGGTGAGTTGGCAGCTCATAATATGTCATTATAGACTGCCCGCGAGACTTGATCGGTTCAGCAGTCCATATGATCTGAGAGCAAAACTTTGTATACCATGTATTACCAGGAAGGTACTTATAGATGAAAACAAACTGCTCAAGAGGAGCTATCATCTTAGGGAGTTTCATCTTTGTGACCTGTCTTATAACGCAATCCTGGTCCATGTCTGAGTCAATCCCTGTTTTGTTGGGAAAAATTTGAATTTGATTGATGATAACTGGCATCTGAATAGTGTTGGTGACCATGACTTTTATCAAGTCATCTTTGGTTGTCTTTGAAAATGAGCAATAAACATTCAAAGGATTGACCAACTTTATGTCAACATAAACTTTAAATTCGACAGGATTTCGTAACAAGTTGTTCATATTCCTACCATTGACAAAACTATCAATGATATTAACAACGTTTTCATCTTGCTTGTGAATTCCTGTAAAAAGTAGTTTTGTCTTCTTGCTGTTTGGAGATAGATTGCCAAGACTTGTGCACAAGGGAAAAAGAACATGACCATCACTAGTCACTTGGGGAGTAAAATAATCTTGATTGTTGTGTGCAGGATGCTTGTTCTCTGCTGCATAAATCTTGCAATGAGCCATCCCATCTACACTACCCCGAGAACTGTCCTGGTTTTCTTCTTGTGAACTAACTTCGACTGCAATTTTCAAATTGAGAAGTGATGCTTTCCATTCTTCATACATAACACTGGGAACTTTTCCAGTATATTTCACAATCAAATAGATGTATAAGAACTCCTGAATAAAAGCTTGGTCTCTAGAGGTGCTGCAGGCAATGTCATATTTGTCTTGCAAGGTTAGTGGCATGTGAACAAAATAAGTATTTTCCTCGACTGATGGTTTCTGCCTAAAGGATTCTGATTTACTCTCATTCCTTTTCAAAGACATCACCTGTAAAAAAAAACGATATTACTGTAAGGAAATTATAAACCTCAGGGGAACAGCAATCACTTTCGTAATAATTCTATTTTGAATAAATAGTGCATCTCATCAACGAAACGAGATGCACTTGACATCTTTAGTCAGCTTAATTAACATCCGGTTTCTGCTAGAGAGTTTTAAAAATCGTTGTTTTCTTGCAAAATCATACCATGAACAGGCTAAATAAAATAGCATTAAGGGAGAATTGATTGAGTAATCAAGGCCCAAAAATCTCATAGCTGGTTCTTGTATTATCTTTTCGTGAAGGGCATAAATTTAGAAACCGTGAGCTTAACACAGTGGAAAAATAAAATTTTAAATTGTAAGGAGGTTGGCTGTCGCTGATTAGGTTTTTACACAGAATTTGTACATCAAATGTTGGAGTAGTTTGCTGTTTATTAATCTCATGATAAAATAATGATAGTTGAAATACTGATAGTTGTACATCCTTTACAATTTCGTCATCAAAGCCAAAATAAAAACTATCTAGTAGGGTATTCTGCAGTTCTTGACTGACTTGAATGCCCTGCACAGCAGTTTAAAGCTTCTTTAAAATATTTGTATCCTTATTGTATTGCTGTGTAAATTTAATTCTAATTATAATTCTAATCTACATCTGAAATAATAAATAATAATAATAATAAAATTTGGTAGCTTAAACACAAACTCTAAGCCCAGTGGATAAACCACAAAACTTATGCTCTATTGTGTGAAACAAAGATACTATCAAGGAGTGTATGCATAGGACATAAAAAGTTTGGAACGAAGATGACATGCTTGTGAAGCGAGCTAACAGTCTAATTGCTAATAAGTTCAAAAAGATCATGACATTAGGTTGCATCCTAAACAGTTTAAGCAAATAACATAAAGTTATATTGTCAATTAATCGCTCATGCCATAACTTTTCTTAAACAGGTGAGTTTTTAATAATGTTTTGAACAGATCAACATCGGAACAAGTCTTAATTTCAATTGGTAGTTGGTTCCAGATTTTCGGAGCAACAGTCTGAAACGCTCTTGGGTGCGATCTTGTAGATCCAACGGGTAGGTGAAAGGAGGAAGTTCTTCTGCTACTCGAACTAACAAATGTTACTAGATCACACAGATATGCAGGAGCAACACCATTGACTGCTTTGAAAATCAGTAAGCATAACTTAAACTCAATCCTCTCCTTCACCTTGAGCCAATGAAGGGATTTGAGCTTCTCCTCGACTGAGTCTCTCTTCTTTAATCCAAAAACTAGACGGTATGCTCAGTTCTGAATGTTCTGCAGCTGCGTAATTGAGGCTTGACTACAACCATAGTAAAGCGCATCGCAGTAGTCAAGCGATGAGATTACAATTGCTTGAGTCAAGTCCTTACATAATGTAAATCGTAAATCGATATGATTTAGATTACACTCCTATGTAATCATTAATCCAAATTGAGGCAAACAGCCGACGTGCGGCATTTATGGTTATCTATGATGTTAGTACAGTCAAATCCGTCCTAATTTAAGCCTTTGTCGGACAAAATTCGCAACAAAGCGTTTTTAACGGGATATGGTCGGGACAGGTCCCAGGAATCATTCCAGAGAGTTCCCAAAATCCTCGACTTCAGGAAAATCCACAATTACCACTTTTTTACCACCTTTTTACCACTTTGGTTTTCTGCAAATAAGTCACGTTCTGAATATCCTAGAAGATTCTAGTTTAAAGCATTGTGTTTAGAAAACAAAGAAGAACAACTTTTCCGTAAACAACTTTTTCAAAAATAAATTATTTAATTAATAAATTAAATAATTTATAAAATTTCAAATATTTCAAAAATATATTTTCATAAAAAATGTTCACAATTACATTCCACGTGCAATGAACTAATTTTTATAAAAGTTTTCACTTTCAATATTTTGGACTTGTAAAATTTTCGAAATTCGTAAAGAATAACCACTATTTATCACTTTTTACCACATTGAATCTCCGCTAATAAAACGACTTCTGAATGTCGTAGAAAGTTCTAGATTGAACCAATGTGTTCAAAATATAAAAGAGAACAACTTTTTATCTGACAACCTTTGGATTAGATAATTAATTGATTTATTAATTAAATAATAATTAAATTTTTAAAAATTTCAAAATATACTTTTTATCAAAAATATTTGCCGTGACGTAAAATGAATTTACTTGAATAACAGAACATACACCGTCACATAGATTAGATAACAGATTTAAAAATTCAGATAAATGGAATAAACGGTAAAATATCCAAATTTGTACGATACTATTATAGCTTATAAATATTTACACATCATATCTTTCGACTTAGTGTTGTGCTTAACTAGATTGTTAAACTGGTTTGTTTGGAAGAGTAAGCTTCAGCTTTACTTTACTTTATGTTGACTTCTCTTCGTAAAAAAGTTGAATCTGCTAAAAATCGAGGACTAAAATCACACGCGAAATAGTTAATATTTTGACAAAAGAAGAACACATCGTGTGCCTGATACTGTACGCGTGCAGATTCTATGTAAGTAGCTGTTAACTATTATACAATAATAGTAATATTATGTTTTTACCGTTTTACTTTTAAGTTTGATGTCAGTGGAGAGCGTACTTTGAATTTTCTCAATGTCATAGATGTAGCTTTTGGTGGTGAGAAACAGTTGGTGGTAAAATCCAAAGTGTTTTGTCATGTGCAGTAAAATGACAAGCAAATCAGTATCATCACCAATTACAGAAACATCAACTGGATTAGACCACAGAACTGCCTCTCTGCAAATCAAAACATTTGCAAAACGATGTGCGAAACGGATTGAAAATGACGAAGTTATCAAGCAATTTGTTTATCTCGTTAGCGAAATTGATTGGGTTATCGATGATTACCTAATCGCTTATCACGTGACAGGGTGCTAGGATACCGTAATTGGGCTTTCTGCACGATTTCTGTGCCACGCTTTCACTGGATCAGACACCACCAGTCGGATCCACGGAGTTGGTAAGGATCGGCTATTCAGAACGATCAGTTACAACGAACTCCTCTTCATTGGCCGATATAATAGTTAATAGCACTATGTTTACAGTATGCACTGAAGGGGTATCCTAGTTGCTTGAACTTTTAACAGGTGCCCCGCTTCATTTAAACCTCAATTAAGTTTCCTATCATTCGGTTGAGTCGACCGTTGAGATCCCTTAGATCCAATGGATCCTTAGCTACTCCCTAGACTAGGTGACACTGGGATTCGAACCCTGAACCTCTGCGCAGAAGGCGGATGCTCTAACCGCTAGGCTAGATATGAATCTTTGGAACTGGTCTATGGTCACTGTCTGCAATAATACACACAAGACGTCACTCAGAGCTGAATCAGTCATGCCGTTGTACTGCCGTTTAATTTCGTTCAGTGACCAGGGGTTGTTGATCCAACCTGTGGTGCGTTGATTTCTTTATTTATACAAGGTATGAGAGGCGTCAGGATAAAGAATAGGACTGTACGTATCCGTTTCAAATTTGCTGGGCATAGTTTAAAAGTTAGTGCACTTACTTAAAAGATAAATAGTTTAAATAGTACCTGAGGACAGCAACCCTTTCCATATTTCATTCCATGCAAATTTACATTGTCGATCATTCGCCCTCTTAAAGCTATTCACCGAAACTAACTCCTCATTTGCCTGGTAAATTAAAACATTGTATTGGTTAAGAATAGCTGATTTCATAAAAATCGAGATCACTAGATGAAGCTAGACTTTCAGTTCTTGAACAGAAGTCGCAATCTTCAACAGCAGACATCAAGTGCGAACAGCTCCCGCC